TCCGGGTAGCGACCGAAAAATTTTCTTCTCTAAAATTGTCTCCTTTCACCTCCTTTCCTGCTCTCTAGCAATATTCTGTCGTCTGCTTTCGTCTTCTCTTTCTGCCCCCACCCCCTCACCTCCCTTGCCCCCTCCTCTGGGCTCCTGACTCTTTCTGCAGCCTTTCTACTGTTACTCCTTGATTCCTTCTTACAGCTGTCTTTCTACCACACCCATGATCTTCTGGTAGGAAAGATCTACACCTAGCCTTCTCAGACAAGGGCGAAAAATCTCGGAGGGCCCGTGTGCAAGTTGCGCACGTTAAAGATCCCTTGGTGGTCTAAAATCGATAAGAGTAGGCTTCGGCGCCACCCGGGCAAAATTCAAAATTTCCTACCAACGAAAAAGTATTAGGTGTGTCCCGCGCGCTCATATGACTTTATGCAGTTGCGAGCGCTAAACAATTTACCTATGAACTTCTTGTACAAAATTGATGAGGTTAGTTTGCATAAGTGTGTTTGCATAAATGTGCGTGCACGTATATATGTGGCTGTATGGATGTGTGCTAATCGTTTGTGTTTTCTCCTCACCTTTAGCAGTCTCACAAACAAAGGAGTATTTATTACTACATCTCCTGTCGTTCCAGCGACCGGAATTTTGGACGCCCATATCCATGTCGACGCAGTCTCTCTGGGGATGGTTAAAGGATTGTTTACATGTCTAATTATATGACTTTGATAGTCTAGTGGTTAGGCTAGCGGACTCGTAATCCTGGGGTTGTGTAGATGATGTCACATTACGTGCCAGTCACAACTCTTCATCTAGATATAATGATAACGCTACCTCAGAATGTTTATGTCATATCTGCTCAGTACATACGTATAAGTGTATAAACGCAAATTATGTTGCTCTCTCTATCTTTTATGGAAGTAAGCTTATATGAGAGCGTTTGTGCAAGAAGCTATGTACATGTATAAGTTTGTGAACATATTAGCACATACGGCGTAAACACTCATAGAAGTAGGTGTATATATAAATATTAATGCACACAATTACATGCCTGAGTCTGACTCACCCTAGCAATCCATCTCTTGTCATTTTTGTTCTCGTCTGGTTGTTTGTAGCCCCAGGCCGTGTAGTCTACCCTGGAGTTGTCCACCCAAACAAACTGGTCTTCAAACCTTCGGTCGTTGAAACCAATCCAGGACGGTGATCGGCTGCCCGAGTTAGCCAACAGGACTGTGATGAATTCTAGTTAGGAAAAGGAAAAGAGTAAATGAATATAAATAAAATCCTTTGGCATCCTTCACTCCCAAACAACAATACGTACCAGGCGCCTTTGCACCAACTTCAACAAAACGTCATCCAAATAAAATCTAAGCCAAGGGGCGGTAAATTATTTGTCAATAGGAAGAAAATTGATTTGTGTGCTCGAAAAATACCCACGTTTAAAAGTTAAAAGTAATATCCAAAAGATCAGTAAAACTCAAAGCTTAACAACTTCTTAAAATTCCACCATAATGTGCATTTGTTGTGCATCAAAGGGGGGAGGGGGTACACCTGAAGGCTAACTCGCTTATAAATGGAGGAAATTGTACTAAATTTCACACATTAGTAAGTCTTAAAATCCACAATCAAATTTGAGAAAAAAGTTTGTTTTTTCCCATGGCTACAGCCGCCATATTGGATTTTATTGACATGTCTTACGTAATGAATACCGCACTTACTTTTCGTGAAAGTAGATTGCCTTTTTTAATGCATATTAACAAACATTAGATCTATAAATGTGTCTATTGAATTTTACCTAAACGGATTAGAAATTTTTAATGAATATTTTCCTGAGGTCGTATTCCAGTTTGCAAAAATCCGTTAAAATCCACACTCCAGACACCACCAACGAAAAGCTATTCCATATACCAAAATTTCAAAGGACGTATTTTTAGTATTACATCTTTACATCATTCTGTGAAAAGTTCAGGAAAATTGGAAAAAAATGGTGGAGTTATTCAAAAAATTAGACAAACTGCATTTAGAGAAAAGGGACGATTCAAAAAAAAAAGATTGACTTTATGAGGAAATGGTGGCGACAAACATGCCCGGTAAGAGAAGAAATATGTTTAGGGAGATTTTAATGCTATGAAATAGTTGTAAGAGAGGCTGAAGAAGCTAAATAGGCCTACAACTCAAAATCCATAATTTGGAACCGTATTGGGACTTTTGGGATTTAGCCACCCCCCCCCCCCAAACCTTAAAGAACAAATCCATCTTAAAATGATCTTGCCAAATAAACTGAGTGGAAATTTGGCTATTTAAATGAAATACCCCAAGTGTAAATCATCTATCTCCAGACAGACTGACATATGCCACCAGAAATTTTGAATAACCTTTTGGCGTGTTTGTAGGCCGATTTTTTGGGCCTCCCTTTTCAGCTGTTCAATTGTTTGTGGATTGTTTGGTAGACTCTGACTTTAAAAAAAACCTACAGAATACATTGTACTTTGAATGGATCTTTGTTTTTAGACGCTCTGACTATTGCAATTTCAGGGGTCTATATCACACTTATTGACCAGAGAAAGGGTTTACAAAAAAACAGATGAACAGATGTTTTTTCCAGTTTTTTTGTTCTACCAGCCTGAAGCACAGAATTGCTAACTACAAACTATCATGGTACTAGTGCAGTTGTTGGGGGCAAACACAAATACTTAAATAGGAAGACAAACAAAAAGACTCCCCATTAGGACTGTGATCTGAGGTCTGGCAGGATGGACTGCTTAGTTGCTTGAAATGGCCACGAAATCTAACAAATTAAACAAGGCACCAGCAAATACACAAACAGAAAGACGTTGAATAACTTGAAATCAGACAAACAGGCAGACATTTCTGGAGCTTAGTGTTGCCATGTGCTATCCCTACATTATCGGTTTTGGCGTATGTAAGTACCGTAAGTTGATTCAGTGTTTGAAGCCTTTGACCCACATCACATATGAAATGTAATGTGATTTTGAAGTAAACCTCTTTGGAAGCATTGAATTCCGGTCGTGAATACAGAGATTGTCACAAAATAAAACAGAAATTGCACAAAACACAAGGACCGATCATAACATAAAAATTTTTTAACTCAAGGAGAAGGTTTTTTAAAACAGTCTTGGCAGGCGCGACAATTCCTTCAATTTCTCTCTCCTCAGTAGGCCTACCTAGTTTTGAGAAATTTGACGTCAAAAAGATTTTGAGTTTCACAACATGCCAAACCTTTTTCAGTGCTATTCTTTGAATTATATCAATTTCGAATAAACTTACGATTTTAATTTTGCTGATAAAATATTTGGTTTCTGACCTCATAGTCTTAATAACTCAAAACAGCCAAATAGAATTTTGTAATTCTAAGGTGGCAAAATGTCGGAAGTTAGTGCAAGACAGCATTTTATTCGAGGTTTTCTTACTTTGTTCCACTGGGTTGTGAATTGAGGCCAGTCGTGATTTATAATTCAGCAGATTACAAACCGACATGGCGTCTGTGTAGTTCACTCTCTGTGAGGGCTTCAAGCCTCCGATAGTGAAGCACTTAGATACTGAAACAAAAATGAGAAAGAAATTTTAATGAAATTGTGCAGACAAGACAGGCTGATAGAATGTGAAAAAGAAAATTGAGGTGAAAGGCTAATGGTGGGCAAGAATAAAAATCGTGAGGATTGGTCGACATGTAGAAGAAAGAAAATTGGAAAGATAAGATGCGTTGATGGGTAATTGTAAAATAAATCCCGATGGTAGGTTGACAGGTGACAGAAAACAGAGAAGGCAGGAGCTAATTAACAGAAGGGTCTCCTTCTTACTCCAAATGAGTCTAACCTGAAAAACAAACAAACACGTAAATAAACAAACAAATGATTCCACACACAAACTAATACAATAAAGCTTGGCACTCACGAGAAGGCAGAGAATGGAACCCCAGTGGACAGCCACCCTTAGTAGATGCTGGGGTCATGGGGGGAACGGTGTAGTCACCAGGTCTTTTCTTACATACGTAGCCACGCTTGTCCTGACAGTGCTGGTCGCCCCAAAGTGCTGGAGGTACGCAGATAGAGCACAGGATAATGATTGGTTTGGTAGAGCACGAGATGATTATTGGTGTGGGTAACAGTTATGTGTTTGGGCTTACAGGATTCGTATCCATAAAGGTGTGTGCAGAGTTTGGAAAAAAGTCTGATCCAAACGTTATGTCCATCAGAAAGACATTATCCAAATTTTCCTCACTTCTTCCACATGAGAATGGTTGCAATAGATGCCTGGCTGTAACAATGAGACGCCATGTTTTAACGTCTGTAAAATGACAGCTCCCACTGGATGCACTTCCAGGAGCTTCAGAATATTTTGGAAAGTTTTAAGAACTGTCGGACTTATGATAAACGGAATCTTCTTTTAGTTGGGGTTATCGATATGAAATCTTCTTCTTCTTCTTCTTCTTCCTTTTCCTCTTCCTCTTCCTCTTCCTCTTCTTCTTCTTCTTCTTCTTCTTCTTCTTCTTCTTCTTCTTCTTCTTCTTCCTCTTCTTCTTCTTCTTCTTCAGGTATCTACCCCAAACTACAACAATTTGCTTTATTCCGGTTCAGAGTAATAACCTGAAAGAGGAGTTCATAAATCTTGGACCCTCACCCCCCTCCCCCACCCCACCCCACCACTACCCCCTCCAGAGAAGCAAAGTGCGACCCAAAAGCATGACATGAGGTACTACTGTTATGCCAGTGGCAAACAGTTTTGTAAGGTTGGAATCCATTGAGATCTCCAAGAAATACCAGTGTTTGTGAAAACATGTGTGTCTGAGATAAAACAAACGATGGCAATAAGTAACAAACTTAAACTTAACGATGATAAAACAGAAATCATGGTCATCACTTTTTAACACACAGCAGCACGCCACACCGTCCCAGTATGTACCCGCAGCAAATACATGGATAAGTGACCATATTATTGTTTAACTATCACCAAGAGTTAAAAATGTAGGAGCTGTGTTTTATAGTGTGCTCTGGACTTAAGCTATTTTATTATTAGTGTTTTGACCTACATTTGGGCTTAATGGTGCGCCATCCATGGTACGCACACTTTGCAGCTAGTTTTTTGTAGAGGGCAAAGAGCGGCGGTCATGATGACGCTCATGATCTAGGACTAACTTTAACCTAACTAAACACTAACCTAGAAGCCAACGGTGTTTTTTCTCTTAGTCCTTTAGGGATCTTCTTCGTCTAATCAAGAATTATGTCATTTCTTCACATCTATCCACCCTACTACAATATGCCGAAAGCCCAGGAAGTTGTCTCACTAACAAGGCAATCCCCAATGTCCGGATCGTATGCAGGAACAACTTTACTTTTTATTCACATCTATGTCGTAACTCAATCAACCTCATCATCAGCATCACAACATCACCAATACGCATACAATCGTTCCTACTATTTGCATAGCTGGAAATATAGCATATCACTGTCGTGTTTTTAATTACAAGATTTTGATGACTATCTTGTACCTACTTTTAACTTATAGGGTTATAGGGTTTCGGGCAGTCTCTAATAAGGAAGTGAATCGTTGCAAGAAAGTGTAACAATAAGCAGTCTACTAACTACAAAAATAACCTTTTCATAACCGTATTTTGAATATATAAGCTGTGCTAACATATCACCTGCATAACTTTATACTAACCAGATGGCGTCAATCTGTAAGGATTGGACAAGGAAAATAAGATAGGGCATGGTCAAGGAGCACAAGTCTTCAGTAAACACACAATGTCCAAAAAGACAGGAAATAAAAATTAATTTAACACCCAGAAGAAAGCACGCTTTAGCGTGTGGTGATGTATACCTAGCAGACGACCCAGAGAAGCTAAATGTACCGGTTCTGCAGACTTAGGGCACTGGATTGGAAGGGTTAAAACAGTCAAATAGAAAGGTCTTCAGTGTCATGATTTGTAGACTCGGGTAACTGGTTTGGAAAGGTTGATGCCGTCAGATACAAAAGTCTTCATTCAGTGCCATGATTTGTCATGTCTTCGAATCAATTTCTGTTTAACGACTTATTTAACCTCGCTCGACTAAGGGTTAAATACTTACATCCAGAGCCAATTCGGACACATCTTTCACTGCCGTAGGCGTCGTTTGGCTGATTGGTCATCCAGCTTACATAGGATACAGGTGAACCATCTGACCATCTGGGGAAAACATGATGGTTGTTGTTGTTGTTGTTGTTGCTATTGTATTTGTTGTGTTACTGTTGCAGTTGTTGCTATTGCTAAAGTATTGTGATCATGAGTAAGGCAATGATAGTGGTGATGATGATGATGAGGCTGATGATGATGACAAGGAACAATTGTGTTTCTTTTAAGTAGTTATTTTTACGCTACCATCGACACAATTTAGATCAATCAAGAGACAGGCTTCCAACACAGCCTGTCAGGGCCAACCTGAGTTGAGAGGGACACTGCATCCCCGCAGAAAGACCAAGATACTTGATAATAATTTTCTCCCCAAAGGAGAATCGAACTCGGGTCTCCTGTGTGCAACAGCAGAACGCTTAAGCGCTACACTCCTGACGCCTGTGGCTGTGACCAGGAAAAAAACAATACATTTGGTGCCATTGACATTCTAATTGTTTCATACACCTATCGACACAAATGATTCCAAATCCTTTCTTTCATCCAAAAGTCAGTTAAAGTCATTTTTGTAGACTAAAGAGAGAAATATTTAGAAATACATTTTTTGGGGTCAGAATAAAGGGTATACCCTACCGATTATGTGTTACTGTTATATTGTAAAGCTCTCAGAGTCTGTATACTTTAATCGCCTTTGAGCGCTATATAAATGCCATAATGTACTATTGTTTTGTAAAAATGTTTCCCCTTGTTTAAGAATAATCAAACCAATGACCTTTTGACTACAAGGCTACATGCTTAACTATCCACCTCGCCCCCACCCCCTAAAAAAATACGCCGCAGTTCACGTGGACTTACTTGAAGGTGTCCTGGTCCAGGTCATTGAGGCCAATCCAGAAGGTTCCCACAGGGTGTCGGCTGACCTGTACATATGGGGAGATAAATGTGTGTGTGGGTGTTAATATAAACCAGGATATCTAAATGTAACACTGTGTATGTGTACGCGCGCATGTGTGTGTTTGTGTGTGTGTGTGTGTGTGTGTGTGTGTGTGTGTGTATGTGTGTGTGTGTGCGAGTGTGAGTGTGTGTGTGTATGTGTGTGTGTCATCACAAGTCAGGAATGTAATATAACACTGCAACCCTCCCCCTCCCCCGAACCAAATGTTCTGAAAAAAGGGCGTCAAAAAACTCAGATACTTCTTCCTGAAAAGCCATCTCATGTTGTTGTCATGTCGCAACTCTCAAATACAACAATACTCATGGCCTTGAAGATGTACGTCTCTCTTTCGTTCAGTCAAATTCGAATTATATCTCTGAACATTTTGTCACTTAAACCACTGCAAACATTAAATATAGGCCAGTAAACATGTTCAGAATACAAATGTGGCAAGTTCTTAGCACAAATTATCACATCATAAACTGTAACACTACAATTCAACTATTCAGTGACAACACTGTAAATTGCGTTACTATCAATCACCACACAGCCAAGACCTTAGCCTGTTATTCTCAAGTTTTGAAATCAAGGTAAGTTTTAACAGAACCCATCCTCCCAGCTACTTGCATAATGCTGAATAAACGGTATCTGTCTTCCTCCCACATCTGTAAGATCTCCTACACTGACAAAGGGGGCTCCAGTGGCTAAGTGAGGAGTGAGTTAACACTCAAAAGTAATGTCAAGCAAGTGTCGGTGACACGGAGTTTCCATGGGTCGTCACGGGGCTATGTCCTTGAGCAAGACACGACGACCAAAGTTTAAATTTAAAAAACAGAGTGCTACACAATGGCGACCAGAAATGACATGTTTGTAAAATTGCTCTGCACTGGTGTAATATTGTGCATTTACCTATTTATGTATGTATGTATGTATGTATGCCTGTATGTATTTCTAGTTATGTATTTTGCGTATGTGTGTTTGTCATTGTAAATCAGTTTTTCCCACGCGAATCAACAAAATTTAATCTATTATTAGATCTATTATTATTGCTTTTTTTTTTTACTTGTTAGTATTATCATCATTATCATTATTATTATCTTTGTTATCTTTTTTAAAATCATCATCATCATCATCATCATCATCATCATCATCATCATCATCATCATCATCATCATCATCATCATCATCATGTGAATCACACACAGCCTGAAATGATTATACACTCCTTCTCTATACAGTTGTACTCACAAGAGAGGTGACGAAAGCGTTCTCCTCATCATTCCCAATGCTGACAAGATCGCCACGTATGTTCAAACATGCAATGCGGGCCTCAAACCAGGTCTTTGTGGCATCATCGCCGTCCGATGGACTTATGTAGTAGCAGTTGTTGTTGTACTCAGACCAGGAGCTGTTACCACATTGGAGAGCTGGGAAAATAGGAAAGGTTAGGAGTGAGGGGAAGGAAGAAAATGGTTTCATTATTTAGTGTCGATGTTGTAGAGATGTTGCTAATTTCTCTGTTTATTGTCAGCAGCAGCAGCAACAGCAGAAGCAGTAGCAGCAGCAGTGGCAACTGCAGTATCATCATCATTGTTATCATCATCATCATTCATTATCATCATCATCACCATCATCCCCATCACAACCACCATCACCATCAGCCTTCAATATAGTTCTTAGTGGTGATTTCTCCAGCATCATCATCAATATTGCCTTTCTCTCCCTGCACCAGGGTATAGGCTACGGACAAGCACTTTCCAACTTTCTCTATCCTGATCTAACCTCTTGATGCTATTCCATGCCTTCCCACTTTTCTGTACATCAATTTATGTAATTTTCTCCAGGTTCCACGCTGTCTTTTCCTTGACCTTTTACCCTGTAGATTCCAGTCCAACACTTTCTTTTTTATCTAGCTGCCTGAATTCGTGAGAGTGTGTCCAATCCATCCGAACCACGTTCTTCCCAAGTTATCTTTGACTGGGATATGTCTTGTTTTCCTTAACACTTCCTTGTTGGTGATCCTGTATGTCTAACTGATCCTCAGTAGTTTTCTTAGACCGCAGCAACCCATATAATGATGTTCATATGATATCTGTCACTGTGATAAGTATACTTGATGCTGATGCTAATAATGGCACAGACGATATTGAGGAGGATGTAGAGAAAGAAGAGGAAAAATAGGTAGTGGAGGAGGAAGATGATTATGATAATGATGATCAAGATTGTACTAATAAATTCTACGCCTTGGGATTTTTCTGTACTAGAAATAAAACAAGTGACTTACATGGTTTTCCAGTTGGCACTGGCCTTGGTGTTGTGATCACAGCTCCTGAAATGAGAAAACGTGGGATGTGAGATCATCGACACCCTGGCCCATTGGGATTATTCTTCCTCCATTGACTGTAAACTGTGCGTAACCTTTTTAATTTTCTGTCTAGCTAGCTTCAAATTGAACAGAAGTAACTTCCCAAAAAAAAAACCAGCAGCAAAAACAAAAAAACAAAAAAACAGAACAAAATAAATTAAATAACCCACAAGTCCTTCATCAAAGTTGTAGGAAATAGTGAGATCCAGAAGAAAACAGGAATGCTCAGAAATTGTAACTGGTATTTTGTGGCTGATGTGTTTACGCGAAAACAACATTTTCATCAGAGTAAATTTATCTTATAGTAGACATCTTCAAATTCAATGTCCTTCTTCAAAAGGTCCAAGCCAAAACGCAGAAAGCCACGAAAACCCAAAGCAAATCAAGTTGAAAAAAGGTTTACCGGGGATATAAACCAGGGCCTTCCAACCCACAGCCCAGAACTGTACGAACTACCGGCTAAATTGTTACCCATAAAGTCCTAGAAGAAGGTATATAAAAATTGGAGTCTGAAACATTGGCCGACCTCTGGGAACCTGACAGATGAAGTTGTGGGCCACGTAGCACGTCTCATCATTCCAGGTGTTCTTCGCCGTGTTCCAGGTGACACAGTCCTCTCTGAAGAAAGATCCGAGCGGCATACATGTTTGTGTTGGTAACAGGTAGTGGGGGAAGAGTAATGTCGTGCAGATGGTCTGTACTGATGTAGTATTGTGTGTTGTGTGTCACTGATGAATTGTTGAGCTAATGTATTCATATAGATCTACTGACGAATGTATTTGTAAAATAACACTTCTCTCGCTGATAAATCAGTGTTGAATGTTTTTCATATTTGTCTATCCTTTTAATCTGGACTGCAAAAACAGTGAAGTGAAGATTTTTTTTATATTTCACGCTGCCCATGCCTGCCCCATTTTTTCCAACTTCATATCTCTCAACTTCAGCCCGTCTGATCTATTTCCTAAGCAGACAGCCAGTGCAGAGACACGCCAGACCTCAGAGATACAAACATGTTTTGACCCGCAGTTGGAGTACACTTTATAGAATTAACCATTGTTTTTGCTTTACTGCATACTAATCGTGTGAAAGCCAGAGAAGAACACAGGCCTTGGTGTTGTGACCACAGCTCCTGAAATGAGAATACGAGGGGTGGGAGACCATTGACACCCTGGCTCATTGAGATCATTATTTCTCCATGAACTGTAAACGGTGTGTAACACTATTTTAATCTTCTGTCTAGCTAGCTTCAAGTTAAACAGAAGCATAGTAGCAAGGAAGAGCAGTTATTTCCTTTTGTTTTTATTGATGAAAAAAGCAACACTCACTTTCCTCCAGCGTCGTCTGGCTGATTGGTCCCCCAGTGTGAGAAGAAGAAAGGGGACTCGTCCTCCCACTTGTATCCTGGTGGGACATGTGAGATGACAGAATTACAGGCTGTGTGGCTGCAGGGGATGGGGAGAGGAAGAGAGGGAAAGAGGGGGTTTTTGAGAGACGAGGGGGGGGAATAGAACAAAGGAAAGAAAAAGGGAAGGATAGAGAGGAAAAGACAGAGAGGGGGGGGGGGGTGGAAGAGACAGAAAGAAAGATAGAAAAAGAAGGAAACTGAGAGGCATAGCGGAGGAGAAAGAAAGGCAGAGTAAGACAAAATGAGAAAAGTGGGGAAAAGAAAGAGAGAAAGGGGCAGATAGAGAAGGAGACGAAAAGAGGGAGTGAGAGATGGGAGAAAAAAAGTGAGAGAAAGTAAAAGTAAAAGAGAGAATGAGATTGGCAGACAGGTGTACAGGCATAGACATAGAGAGACGCAGGAGGATTGAAAGGGAGACCTAATGAGTGAAACAAGGAAATGTTTTAAATATTACTGTTTTTACACCCCCACCAACTCAACTTTGGTAATTTAGGAGACAGGTTTCGATCCTGCCTGTCGGGGGCAATCCAGGCTAAGAGGGATACCACATTCTAGCATACAGACCGACATACTCTATTAAATATTCTTCCTACTCGGAATTGCACTCTGGTTTCCTGCATGTTTTTACACAACAGAAGCCAGCTGAGACAGGCAGAACAAGAGAGAGTTCATAGGTTCTTTTTCCTTTGGAAGTGTTTTACGGCGCTGGCAACTGCATAAGGTCATATGAGCGCGCGGGGCACACCAAACATTTTCAGTTGATCGGAAATTTTTAATTTTGCCAGGGTGGAGACCGAAGCTTATTTCTATCGATTTTAGACCACCAAGGGATCTTTAATGTGCACAACTTGCATACAGGACCTCCAATATTTCTAACCCTTGTCCGAGAAGTCAAGGTGTATATCTTACTTACCCAAAGATCAGGGGTGTGGTTGGAAGACAACAGTAAGAAGGAGCGCAAGGAGTAGCATTAGAAAGACCGCAGAAAGAGTCAGGAGGTGAGAGGGTGGGTACAGAAAGCGGAGACGAAAGAAGACGACAGAACATTGTAAGAGAGTAGGAAAGGATGTGAAAGGAGAAAGTTTTAGAGAAGAAAGCTTTTTTGTCGCAATGAGAGGCCAAAACGTTAACCTCTAGGCCATGAGAGTCCCCGTTCACAGGTTCAAAGACACAGCACAAAATCTATCTCTTTTCAATCCATCAATTCGCTACGTTGAATTATAATGGTCTATCTGCCATTTTTGGCCATTTTGAGTAATTAAAACCATGAGGTCAGAAACCAAAATAATATTCTATCTGCTTTATAAGAATCGTAAGACTATTCAAAGTCGTTATCAAGATATTCAAAGAATTTAATTGCGTTCGAAAAAGCTTGAGATGTTAAGAAACAAAATTTTAAGCGTCAAATTTCTCAAAATAGGCACTGAGCAGATAGAACTTTGTAATTCTAGGTTAGAGATTTGTATGATATTAACAAGGAGAGAAACGGAGCGTCATAACTCCTTTCTTACAATAGTATACTTTTCGACTATTGAACATCATCACTAAGAACTAAGAAGTCAAAATTCAAAGTTCTAAATGGTATTTCTATGCTTTTTTCAATGTCAAAGAGGCTTGAAGCAGAAGAGATGACAGTAGAAATACTTCTAAGGTAGTTTCGAACAGAACATAACATCTTTAGTCTGAAATCTGAAAACATAACGTAAATATTTTTGCCACTTACCTCCTTCAGTGCTGCGGTCAGAGAGACCAATCCAAAATTTGTCTTGCATATTTCTGAAATGAGACCATAACAATATTATTATTATTACTGATACCGTAAACACACTCCACTGTCCATTCTGAAACTTCATTTCTCTTTAGAATATTATAATACCATAGTTCTTTTGTAACCAAATTAAGAGATCTTTGCCAAAAAGCTTATAAAAACCAATGATGTGAAACCACCTTTCATTTTTAGGATTTCGGAAGAAAATGGTGATATGGTATAGATTTAACGCCCCTATTATTTTTTAGGTTTGATTATAAAAAAATTTCCTGTAAATCGAAGCTTTCAGAGGTCTTTGCTCTGCCATTAGCCATTCCATATTATTTTACTGGGGACTACTTCCGTTTCGGTTTGTGCTTCGTCATGTGTGAGAGACAACTACTTCTATTATTTCCAGATCTAGAATCTCGATATTCAACCCTGTTTGGATGTGTGCTTCGCAGTGTCGATGGATACTTCAGGCTAAACTTTATTGTACTGACTTCTTCTAGATACATTTGGTGTAGTCATGTCCACAGAGAGTTGAGTTCGTTTAAACTCACAAATGTTTACCTCGTTGTATTGACGTTTTTTAAAATTGGGCGCGTATTTGGGGCGAATATTTTCGTAGATTTCTGAAGTTACAGCTCACACAGTTTCAAAAACTTCTGTTTACGACAACAAACAATATGTGAGTCATTCTGTTAAGTCTCAGTTTTAGTTCAGTCTAAAAAAATCGTTTGACTTGTGAAACTTACAAATATAATGTTGTCCACATTTTCACACTCTTTTGTTTTGTTGTGTGTGTGGGAGTGGGGGGTTGTTGTTGTTGTTTTGTTTCTTTTTTGTTGTGGGTTTTTTTATTCTGTTTTTGGTGTTTTTGTTGTTGTTGTTTTTGGTTGGGAGGTTTTTTCGTTTGTTATTTGTTTGTTTGTTTGTTATTCGGGAGAGGGATACGTTGGCGCTTTACGCCACAATCAACACAATTTAGATCATTCGGGAGGCGCGCTTCCATCCAACGTATCTGGGCCTATCCGTACTGGTAGGGATATAATTTCCAATCAGGAAGGCTGAAATACTCAATACAAATTGTCCCAAGACGGGAAATAAACTCGCACCCTCTGTATGGGGCAACAAAGCACCTAGCTACTACACCACATACACAGGTTTGCACAATGTAACTGGTTAAGGTTGACATACTGATTAAATTCTGCTTCAACACTCTACGGTTCAAAAGAGGAGGGACCTCTGAATTTTAAAATTTGTCTTAGATACGACTGAGCAAAGTGGGTGGAAAGCCTTAAAAAACTCCAAGTGGCTCAAGTTCGAGAGCATCCCACTGGGAATTTGAATCAGGGCCATCCCCTCTGCACACTTTGACAATGAAACTTGACATAAATTAGAGCACTATGCGAAGAAAGATTTTAGGTTTTTTTTAACATTTCTGACCCGTAATTGCACTTGTACTTTTTCCACCCCCACCCACACAATTTAGATCATTAAAGGGGTGCGGACTCGAAGCAACAGATTCAATTTCGTATCTTCTGCTTGCAACATTGTAAAACGTGTAAGCTTTCGGGTCTTCAAATTATTTATTTCTGTATTGAAACGAGCGTCAAGGATACAAGCTATTGTTTCTGTTCTGTTTGCTGTAATTCAATGTTCCCTGCGTATTTCTCAAATACAAAAATAACCCCTCCCCCCTCCCGGCCCCTACCCCAGCGCAAACACACACACATACACACACACACACACACATACACACACACACACACACACACACACACACACACACACACACACACACACACACACACACAGA